TATAAATGAGAGATAAAAAGGAGTAGGAAAGAGCGACTACTGCATATTCCAACTCTTTCCTAGCCATAACTATAGAAAAAGACTAAAGATCTTTAGCTTCTTCCCGCCTCTTTCATAAGATCTCTACCGGATTGTATGGGATCACAAATTATACGGGATCATACGTCATAAAAAAATTAAACATTCTAAAAGATGCGGCGAGCATTAATCTCATATTAAAATCCAACAAGGAGACACTTAAACGAAGGAGAACGAATGACAACGAAGGATTATATTAGAAAATTTGTGAAAAAACAAATGAATGAGCAAAGTAAACAAATGCAAAAAAATGATAGAAGTAAGGCAGGAGGCGTCAAGAACCGATTCTGAAAACCGTTTAAAAAATCGTATGGGATCGTTAAGATTGGTGGCACAAAAAGGAGAATCACAAAGACAAAATCTCCAAGAGAAAACAACCACGAACTAGAACAATGAGAGCCCAGATTTTGATGCTACAAAAGAAAGATGACAATGATGTCTCGTGTGTTCCAAGAGATGCGACTCCAGAATCCTCAAATAATGAAGAGAGGAAAAGGATAAGAATAAGAAGGGCACCAGAGAATGTCTTCTCAAGAGAAATTGCTAAAGAGGAACCTCAAGAAACTAAAGATCTCTTTCTTAGATTCATATAAAGGAAGAACGAATCCGACCGATCAAGTAACATCCTTTGAATTAGTTGTATGTTTGTCCCAGATAAACGACGATTTTAAATGTTGTTTGTCCCTTATGAAATTAAAAGAATCAACTCTGTGATGGTTCAATAACTTATCTGCAGACGTAATCATCTTCTTCAGTGAGTTCAAGTGAGTTCAAGCGAATGTTCATGGCTCAATCGCCAAAATGCTTAGAAGTCACAGAAGAACTCTAAAACTTTACTGAAAATTCAACAAACTTCATTTGAAATTTTGAGGAGCTTCATCACTATATTCCAATGAGAGATGCTCGAAATTGAAGATCTTTAGCTTTCCGTCACCCATGCAACACTTGCACAGGGTCTGTGTGAAGGCCCATTATGATATGCACTTAATTTGCAAAAGCCAAAAACTTTGGTTGAACTTCTGGAGCAGAAAATAACCATTTTTCGGTTGAATAATGCATTTTTTGTTGAATCCCTCTGGCATCAGAGAACTAGTTGACAAACTCCGAAAAAGAGACTTTCATGAATCTCGGGATCCTGATACCAATTTGCATGAAAGGACCATCAGAGTGTTTCGGGAAGACATCCTCAGCAGCAACAACAACAAAAGCAGTCCATTTGAAGGCTTGTCGTAAAAAGGCTAGAGAGGAGGAAATATGTAACTCAACCCTCCGTGTCATAAATCACTCCATTAAGAGTATCAATTGCTGAAATCGTAGAGGTCATCCAAAATAAAGAATTTTTAAAGAGGCCCCCACAAATGAAAGTTGAGAATTTCCAACGCAATCCCAACAAGTATCGTGCATATCATCGTGATCACAAGTATGACACTAAGGAATGTCGTCATCTTCAAAACTTGATTGAAGAGATAATCAGAGCGGGAAAGTTAAGAGAATTTGTTTCGTCAGAGGCCAACACTCAGAGGCAAGGAGTAGCATCTGTTGATACCACTTCCCACGGACAAGTCTCCGTGCATGTCGTCGGAGTCGCGTTTTCCAACTTCGATTGGGACAGGCTTGAGGCCTCGTGATGTTCAATCTTGCAACGGTTGAAAGCAAGGAGCGTTTTTTCCACCAAATTAGCTAAAGCCCCCAATCCGACTCATCCACTGATCACCTTTACATGAACTGGTTTACACAACGACAAAAATCCTTTTAAAGACATTATCGTCGTAATCGCAGTAATAGGCAATTACCAAATTGGACGCATCTTGATTGACACAAGGAGTTCTATCAACATCCTCTTTAAAAAAGTTCTCGAGAAGATGAACATGATAAACACTCAATTAACTCCTTCAAAACCTCTATATGAATTCTCCAGGGAGAGAAAATAAACTTGTGAAATTATCTCCCTAACTGTAACTTGGGGAGAAGAAGATAAATAATATACATTAATGACAAATTTTACAACAGTGGACACTCTGACTACCTACAATGCTATCTTTGACAAACTAGTGTTCAACTCGTTTAAAGAGGCGACTTCCACATAGCACATAGTCGCCAAATTCTATAGAAGATGAGAAATTATCACCATTCGAGGGGATCTAGTTCAATCCAGAACATGATATCTGTGAGCAATAGGGAATGTACAGGAGAACCTCCTCAAGCTTGATAAGCAAAAAAGAACCAGCTTAGAAACTATCGAGACCATTGAGCCAGCAACTATCTCTGAAGATGATTGCGAGCGAGAATTCCAAACCACTCTAGAGCTAGAACTACGACAATTTGCTGTTAAAAAATAAGGCCTTACATATTCGTAAGCTAGTCATGAGTGAAACTAGAATACATAAAATTAAATTCATAGCAAAAGAAGAAAATCATTTAACTACCTTGAAGAATAACTCATTATTCTATATCATGCACGGTAAGTCATTATGAGATAAACAATAGGAAAAAAGAACCTTAAAAAAAGATGAATATCCATTAATTTATAATGACATGCCATTAGATGATGAATGATTGACATATGATAAAGATGAAGGTAGAATATCAAATTTGCAATAAGAAGATCTCTATAGTAAATTATTTAATTACAGTTTTCATCATCAATATAATCTTTATTTTAAATTTTAATTGATATTCTTATTGATTTATATTAATTAAGAAAGAGAAACATGATTGAGATTGATTTCGAGGAGAAAAATTGAGAGACTATTACTATAACTCGGGATAAGATAGAAAAAAAACCAATTCATTGTGAAAATAGTTCCATTGAAAACCTGCAAAATGATAAGAGCGTTGGAGGTTTTTGAATTTTAAAATTATAATATGAATAATTTGTTATTTTTTTACTTTAATGTCTAAGCATGAAAGAAATTTATTATGTAGAATACATTTTGAATTATTATTTTCTTAATTTGATATCTTTTTTAGTAATTTTATGACACATCTTCATAATCTGATATTAAAAAGCTAATAAATTAGTTCATAATTTGATGTTAGTATTTTGCTTTTTATTTCACACAATTTGATGATTTGAAGATTATGCTTCAAAAAACCTCAAAACATTCACCTTACTGACAAAAAATGTCTCAATACCTAATCACAAAATTTTAAATCATGCTTCTAACTATTAAGTTAGCATTTAAATAGCATTATATATAAGTCTATGAACAAATCACTATTAAGATTATTAATGGATTGAGCTAGAAAGTAATTAATTGCCATCTCATCAGCGTTACATTTAAATTATGAACTTGCTACATTATTTGAATAAGATTAATATGATTTTTATGATGGAATTATAAAGCAATTTGAATTTCTTAATGAACAATATCCTAATGTACTGAATATCATGAGAAAAACTCAAGAATATAACTAAGAAGAAATTTCAATGGCTCATATATGTCCTAAATGACTCACATAAATAAAATATAAAAAATTGTAACATAAATGAATTTAGTCCTCTTGAAATAATTATGAAATTAGTTTTAATGCATATGCTCTATATTTAGCTGCAAAAAAAAATTATCAATTATTTTTGAAAGATAGAAGGTATTATGCCTTAATAAGGAACTCTCAAGCCCAGAGAACTTCCAATTGATTATTCTACAAAAGCAATATCTAAAAAAAAAAAAATAGTACTATTGAGTCCATTGTTCCCACTGCAGAGAGTTGATCATTTGAGATTACTCTTGGAATAAGGGTAGAGCACATAATCTTATTCAAGTGCAAAAACATTCCTCTATCACACGACCTATAGCAAACAAAGAACTACAAAAGATAACATCAAACCTCCTTAATGATTATATATTGTAGACTCTATATAGAAGAGTTATTTGTACCTCAAGGGCATTGATGTAGTTCCATTTGTATCAACTAACAATTTAGTAAAGTTAGCTTAGACATGTTCGGCTTCTTATAGGGAACTACAAGTAATCAAATCGGGCAACAAAAGGGTTGATCTAGACCTATTTTCATACTTTTTTGGCCAGCTACTATTTATAATAGAACTTACATTTTTTTCTAGTATTTAAATAATTTAAATGCAATAAGGATTTGGGCACATGAAACCATAGTTAGGAATTTATTTTCTTCATGTGGACCTCACGTAAGGACATTCTCATTATATTGATGATATAAGTGACTTAAATTATTGATTGTGGCTTCCTCCTACTTCGTGTCCATTTGATCCAAGTTTTCTAAGAGAATCACAATGAGTTGTGTACAAGAAGCTCGCCCACTCCCTTTTTCCTCTTAACTAAGGTAACTTCTCATATTTTTTATTTTTTGTTTTTTGTTTTTTGTCTCTCTTTTTTTTTTGTGATTTAAATTTTTTATCTTCTTATTCTTTGATTTCTGAGTGCCTTAAAGGCTTAAAATTTATATAATCCATCCGCCTCTTTCTTCCCCAAGGAATAAGAGAGTCAATCCAGCCTCCATCACAAAGCCTGCTTGGATAAACATGAATACTGCCTTTAACTCCAAAAACTTAATTTCACAAATGATGGGGAAAAAAAATACCAGCCAAAGATTTTACTTTATATACTGAAAGTACTTAATTTTAAAAGTAAACAGGAAGCATGAGCAGATATCTGGTGATATCTTAAATCTTGCATCTTTAAGCGACTGAATCCTTGTTCTAATCACTCACAGTAAAGTAATATATCGAAAAATACATAAAAGCCTTAAACTTCTTTATTAAATTGGGTGAATTCTCCGGCTGCAATTCTAATACAGTTTAATTTGAAAAAAGAGAAAAAAAAAACTTAAAACTCCGCTGTTTTTTTTATGTAAGAAAAAAATTCGGCATCTCAGACAAGCGGAAAATCAAAATACGCAGCTAGAATCTCACAAATTGTTGAAATCAGGCATTGATGCATTACCGGCGGTAGAAGTTGGTGGTAACCCCCACGTAAGTCCTCGGCAACCGAGTCGAGGCAAGTAAATAAACGGACCAAATCGAGGAGCTCTTGGCTACGCAGTGTCTCCTCTTTCCTACCCCTACATCTCTTCGTCCAGGATCACCAGGGGCATTGAGGGAGGAAAGAGAGGAGGGCGGAGCCACTTGGGAAGAGACTTTGGACTGAGATAGGAGATGAACCTTGCGACTTGGGAATTTGTTGGAAAGCCTCTTCATCGAGTTCCGTACTCAGTTCGATTCGCCTTGTTCTTGTCAACAAATAGGATTAGGTCACCACGAACAATTACGATAGAATTGAAGCAGGATTTAACTAGATCTTATCAAACGATCAAAGTGGAAACTTTAATCCTGCAGAATCCTAAATCCCATTTCTTCTCAGATTTGCCTTAAATCCCCGATATAGTAAATCCGCCATAACGGATTAATTGCATTCAACTTAGATCTCCAAATACAGCATGTATTGCTCCTGAGGATGCTTCTACACCAAGCTCCTGTCGCAACTCTTGCATATTTTCCGTCCAGGATTTCGAATTGGGGAGAATGACGAGGGTTTAGATGTCGCGATCCCGTCGAAGCCTTCGCCCGGGAAAAGCCGGGAAAAACTATTACTAGCCACAAGTGCGGTGCGGAGTAATTCAAATCACCTCACGAATCGCGCGACAGACTAAAAAAATGTTGAACAGAGAATATTCTCTTTTGTGTTATTCATGTATTATTGCGTGTTATTCATATGTTCGTGCGTGTTATTCATGTGTTATTGATGTGTTATTGTGTTATTATAACACCAAGTATATTCTCATGACACAATAACATATGAATAACACACAATAACACTTGAATAACACGGGAAATATTCGCGACAAAGAAAAAAACGGCGCGGTAACACGAGGAATATTCCTCCCCCCGTGTTATTATTGTGTTATTGTGTGTTATTCATGTGTTATTGTGTTATTATAACACTAGGAATATTCCCATGACACAATAACACATGAATAACACACAATAACACATGAACAACAGGGGGAATATTCTCCATGTTACTGCGCGGTTTTTTTTCTGTGTCGCGCGGGGTATCGTGGCGTGATTTCATTGGCTACGCACGTTACTCTACATCACGTGCGTAGTACTGATGTAATATTTTTTCTTAGCCCGGTGGCTCCAATCGCGGCGACTTCCGTGTTTTTTTATTTTGAGCGTTTAAGATGAAAAAAAAAACTCTTGAAGAAAAAAATACTATGGTCACCAATAATAAAATTTTGCCACAGGAGCTTGTATAGCACCTGAGGAGCTTGTATAGCTCCTGAGGATGCTTCTACACCACCGGATAAAAAATGAAATGTGTTATATTTTAATGATGAAAACTCCATCTTTTGTAAAGTAATTTTTTTAGTTCATCTTTCTCGCTGACCGGGAAGTATTTATGATGAAATGTGAAAAAAGTGTGAGAAATTTGAAATAGAGGTAATGAAATTTGAAAAAAAAAAGATGAGAAATTTGAAATGAAGGTAATAGAATCTGGACAAAATGACGAGAATTTTGAAATATATATGAGTTTAGCTTCGTTTGAAATGTTGGCATTAATTTATGGTGATATTGCAATATTATTATAGTGTTATTAAGTCGTTATTAAAGCTTTATTGTAACATTTTATGGTATTATTGGGGTGTTATTGTGTCGTTATTGTGTTATTATTATGATATTATTGTGGTATTATTTTGGTGGTACATTGACAGTTCTGTGGTGGTATTTGACTGTGTTGTGGTGGATTCAATTTGTGTTATTGAAATATTATTATGTTATTATTGTGGTATTACTATGGTGTTATTCAAATGTTATTGAGGCATTATTGTGGTGTTATTGTGATAATATTATGTTGTTATTGCCTTATTTTTTGTGGTATTATTAAGATGTTATTGAGGTGTTACTGTGACAATTTTTGTGGTGTTATTTGAGTGGTATTGCGACATCTTCATGGTGTATTCGACTGGTGTTATTATGTTGTTATAATACTATTGTGGTATTATTGTGGTGTTATTCAGGTGTTATTGATATGTTATTGTGGTGTTATTTGTGTGGTATTGTGACGGCTATGTGATGGTATTCAACTTGTGTTATTGGAATATTATTATGTTGTTATTGCGATGTTATTGTGATGTTATTCAAGTGTTATTGATATGTCATTGCGATGTTATTGTGATATTATTGTAGTATTATTGTGATATTTTTTAATATTATTGATGTGTAATTGAGATGTTATTTGAGTTGTATTATTGTGTTATTGTAGTATTTTTGTGTTGTTATTCGGCTGTTGTTTTGTGAAATTTTTATTATTTTTCTTTTGGCTATTTTCATGTCAAAAGAAGAATATTAAACTTCATGAACCAAATATCCATATCCAAGTGGTAATAATTGTTTTTCCTTTGTTATTAATTTATTTGCTTTAGTAGAGACTTGTGTATGAAAATTTATGTGATTGGAGAGTTAGCAATGCTAAGATTAAATACCACATAAAAGCTAAGCATGTCATAATTTAAAACCAATCCCACCGTTTTAAAATTAAAAGACGAGAGTTCAATGAAATATAAGAGCTCAATTCACAAAAAAAATATTTCAAGTAACTTAAAGAATGTATTTAAAACAAAAGATAAAAACAATATGCTCTTAAAGTTTACTCATAATTAGTTAATTTTATGCATATTACATTTTCTTATAAAAAATGTTTGATAACAAATCTTTAAAGACTCTAATAAAGAAAAAAATCACTTAAATCAATTTTGCAAAAGATAAATAATGTATAAGAGGTGAGTGCAATTGTTTAACTAGAAGAAGGTTATCAACAAAAACTAAACTGTCCAACAAAAGCTTATAGCTAAAGTGATCCATCACATGAAAGTTTATTTAATAAAACATTATTAAAATCATTAAGTTTTTTTTTTCTTCTCTTTTCATATTATCATTCTCATATTTTTAAAAACACTTCATTACATGTCATATATTTGCAATCATGCATTCACTTGACTTCAATAAATACCAAAAATTTAGAAGCATCTGTATTTGATGATGTGAAAGATAATGTCAAATTTTAAGATTGATTAAAATAATTGATAATTACTTTGATTTTTAAAATGCAGATGACTATCAGAGCATTAACTATGTAAAATTAAAGTAAAAAAAAAACAAAATTACATTGGACTGAATTCTTTGAAAGATAACAAAGTCATATTATAAAAAGTCTAATTTAAAATCTAAATGTATCCCAAAGGAGCATAAACTATATCCAGTCCTCTCACCAATTAGAAAAACTTTCTACTTTTAGTAAAAGGAGATTTAAAGAGTTTAAGCTTAGCATGAATGATGATTATCACCGAGTTTAATCTAATGTTGTTTTTCTTTTTTGCAGTTGTCAGCCGACGTTTGGCATCGATTTGAAATTTAAATAATCTAATTTAGTTTAATTTAATAGATATTATAATTTTGATTTAAAAAATGTAGCATATTAATTTTAAGAAAAAGAATAAGACCGGATTGATGTCATATACTCAATAGTTTAAGTACACGCCAAATAATACATTATCCCGAAAGATAGACATACTACTTGACAGTGAACTCGATCATATAAACTAAATGATTTAGGACATTCGTTTGGTCTGTAAACCTTTTATGTGACTGAAAGACTCCCCTACCTAACATTAAAGAGTAAATAAGATTTATATTATCTGGGTTCTTTAGTTCCTTATAGAGACAAACCCCCATAGTTAATTACATCTTAAATGACCGAATATACTTAAGAATGCTCTCGATAATAATCAGAGATATTGTCTTCAAGAATTTTAAGGATCTAGTTTTCAAGGTTGTACGTGGAAAAGTCAAAAGAAAATGATTCAAATAGGAGCAGTTATTATCGGAGTCCAAGGGAATGAGAAGTAGGGGAAGTCACATACCTCGAGGCAAACCTCGATGACTTACCAAATTATCCTACTATTGATATTTATATTTTAGGAATCAAATTATTTAATGTTTACTCTTATCTTTTATTTATTTAGGGTTTACATCAGCACAATATCTGATCGTTTAAATAGCCTGAGAGATAGGAAGATTTATGTCATATCAGACAACGACCTCGAGGTCCTAAAAGAGTTAGGGCTTATATTGCGCAATCTGGTTGTGCAAAAGCTTAAAGATAATGTCATGATTTATGTCGCACTAGGCAGGCTATCTCGAAGTCTTATGAATTTGTTGTTTAATTCTTAGGAAAGTTTATCTGTTGAAGATCTTTTTCGCTCTCTTGAAGATGATCTTCTGTTACATCCTCGTCGTTCTACCCACAAAGTTTGCTCCAAGCTTATCGTCGCGACGATTGCAAGTTTAGGTTTTAGATTTAAAGTGTGCATGCAGATGGTTTGTTCGGGGTCCTGTTGCTATGCACCTCATATATAATCAGGCTACTCTTCTCCTATTCTAAGAAGTATTGCACGTAAAAACATGCATATAAGTAAAATATGTTGTAAGAGAACTAAGTAAAAGAGGTACGGGTAAAACAAAAAATTGTGTACCTGGGCCCCTGCTATCACTGCAAACGGAGTTAGTATAATAAGAATAATATAATGAAGTGCAGGAAGTTTAAGCAAACTTATGAAACTTAAACAAATAATGAGAAAACCCAGTATAAGAAAAAATTATTCAAATCGTGAGAAAAACTTGAATCGAATAAAACAAAATCCATTGTCACACATGGAAGACCGAGGCTAAGTGTAAGACTTTAGTAAAGGTAAAGGCTCATATGTAGGCTATGTGTTTTATGATTCCAACCTTGGGCAAAAGCTACCAACTCAGTAATCCAAGGAGGGTGATCCCTAACTTCGATCCAAGTGACTAACATGTGGACCTTTATAATTTTTCATCCAAATTCTTTAGTTTTTCATGCATACAGAATTTACTTCAGTGAGAACAAGTAATGATGTCATAAAAAGGGTTTTTTTGATTAATATTTTGTAAAGTAGTATAGTTCACAGGCTGATTACTCTAAGTAGACTAGGACTACCGACAACCTAAGAGTGTTGGGGGCAATTTCTACTAAAAGCTGATGAATAGTATCGTTGGTCTTGTCCTCTCCCCGTAGGTCCTAGAGGTAGAACATACTATTCTAAATACCACTTCTTATCCCTCATTTAGCACACATAAGCAATGTTGTCATCCCTTAGCCACCTAGATCTCAGACATACACAAACCTGATGCTCCATGGGTGGCAAACTATCCCCAGTTGCTTACAAGGATTTGGATACCTTATCGAAGACTCAGATCTATAAGCATTGGATTATTAATGTATGATAAGTAGTATAGGGTATTTTATTTGGAAGTGTGAATTAACAAGTCCCAAGTTATATATTAATGGGTCCCTATGGATTTTATCTTTGTTTTGGTTCTTACTGGTTGTTTATATTCTTAGAAAGATGCCATTGATTATATTTTATTATCTAAACCTCATTAAATGTTTGTGTATCAATCCTAGTTCACTACTAAGCTCTTAAGTCTTTCATGGGTAAACTTATAATTAAAAAAAAAATGTCTTAATGGAATATGTTGAATTCTTATTAAAGGACTAAATAGTATTGAA